GAGTGCCATAGCTTCAGCGCTCACAGCAACCTCAAACTCTTGGGCTTAAGTGACTCTCTTGCCTCAGCTTCCCAAGTAGCTGGGGCTACAGGTGCCCACCACAACAGCGGGCTATTGGCATTAGGATTATTTTAAGCTGAAGGCAGTTGACTAGAAGCAGATACAAGAATAGCTCCCTGCCCTTCCTCTATTTGTCTAAAAGCAGGACAAACATTTCCAAAGTATCTGAAAGGATGGTCTTGTTAATAAAGAAAGAAAAACTATCAAACAGAAAGAGCGATAAACTCACAACCCACAATTGCCCCTTAAAAAAAAAAAACTCATAGCACATTGCCCTTTGTTTTGTTTGACTAAATACCTGGACTCAATTCATTGTCTTCAAACTTGTTATCTGTGAGTTCATTTTCACAGTCGTGAAGAGTCCTAAGCAGATGGCAGGGGTACATGTTCTTGGCAGCAATTCCTGCCAGCCCACATTTCAAGGACTCTGAACAGCTGGCCTCACAGAGAAGAAGAAAAGAAAGCAGAGGCAGCAACTTTGTGCCTATATTTACTATCAGTAGGCAGCAATCACTTTTTTCTTTCTCTTTCTCCCCCCAATAACCCCCTCAAACCCCCTACCTTTTCTGTGCTGACATCTTTCTTTCTCTTATGTTGGGCGCTTCCCTCCTTTGGGCAGTAAAATAAACTTTCTTTCTTTAAAACTATTCTAGGGTTGGGTTCGGTGGTTCACACCTGTAATCCCAGCACTCTGGGAGGCTGAGGTGGGTGCTCAAGAGTTCAAGACCAGCCTGAGCTAGAGTGAGACCACGTCTCAAAAAATAGCTGGACTTTGTGACAGGCGCTTATAGTCCCAGCTACTTGGGAGGCTGAGGCAAGAGGATCACTTGAGCCCAAGAGTTTGAGGTTCCTATGAGCTGTGATGCCACAGCACTCTACCAAGGGTGACAAACTAAAAACAACAACAACAATAACAACAACAAACAACCAAAAACCCCCCAAATCCCAAACAAAAGACAATTCTAATCTTTAAGGTAAAATGACCTTTTTACTCCATATGTTTGAATCCTTATGTGAGAAATATTTCTCAGCCTGTGTACAAATTCATACCCTAAAAGTACCCCTCCTCCATACTCTATCTACCAGGAAAGACAATTTTAGACGCTTATCAGCCTGGGGATGGCCCCAGGGCAATCTACAGAACAAACTTTACTAACCAACTTTATGTACCATTAGTTTCCCGTATACACGTTGCTTTCCCACAGTTAGCCACCCTTGGAAGTGTAAAACTGCTTTTCTTTCTCCTGTCACTTCTCTACAAATTTACTGTTCTTTGGCTTGGAGCCTGTAGGACAGTGGTTATAGTGCCATCCACATACACCGAGGGTGGCGGGTTCGAACCCGGCCTGGGCCAGCTAAACAATAATAGGCAACTGCAACAAAAAAATAGCCGGGTTGGGCGCCGCCTGTGGCTCAAAGGAGTAGGGCGCCGGCCCCATATGCTGGAGGTGGCAGGTTCAAACCCAGCCCCAGCCAAAAACTGCAACGTTGTGGCGGGGGCCTGTAGTCCCAGCTACTTGGGAGGCTGAGGCAAGAGAATCGCCTAAGCCCAAGAGTTGGAGGTTGCTGTGAGCTGTGATGCCATGGCACTCTACCAAGGGCGATAAAGTGAGACTATCTCTACAAAAAAGAAAAAAAAGTGTGACACACTTGTGAATAAACGTGTTTGCTTTTCTCTTGTCAGCTGTCTTTTATCACAGATCCCCACCATGAACCCAAGACAATTAGAGAAAACATTTTTCCTTCCCTGCAGCCCTCAGGTGGAGAGTTGCTCCTGCATGTGGCAGTGCTGGGAACGGGCAGAAGAACAGTGAGGGAACAGGGGTGAGACCCCTGCAGGTGCCTGTGCCGGTCACTCACCTGTCTGTTTGCAAGTATTTATTGGGTTCCCCCTGTTCTTGTCACTGTGGCATATAGCAGGGAAGAGGGACATGCAGTCCCCACGCTCACAGAGTTTCCTGTTCAGACAATAAACAGAAAGAGAAAAAAAAAAAAAAAACCAACCGTAGTAGATTGTGAAATGTGATCTCAAGAAAATATTATGCTCTTGTGAGACAAAGTGACAAACGTCAAGCCGTGTTTGCTTGCCAACACAATTTCACAAGCCCTTGACTCTGTGACAACGTGCAGGATAGAGCACATGGCCCCCACATCTCTTGCCTTACTCACCGTATTTCTTAAAAGATAAATGATGCTAGTCCTTGCCTTCTTTCTACGCATAAGGTCACCTCTGCCAGGGCTAGTGCTTATGCCTCTGTCATTTATAACTCCATATGTTCTTATACCTAGAGGGTGATCTGATTCTGCTGCAGTGTAACTTCTGAGTGAGTTTGCTGTGATTTTGGCATACTGAGTCTCCTTCCTGCCCCATATAAAAGCAGTGGGCTGAGATACTGTGCTGTCTAACAGACCTGCCCCCGGCCTGTAGGTCTTGGGTTATAGTCCTCAGTAAGACTTTTGAATAAAACCAACTTTAATTCCTTCCTTCCTTTCTTTTTTTGAGACAGAGTCTCACTATGTTGCCCTTAGTAGAGTGCTGTGGCATCACAGCTCACAGCAACCTCAAACTCTTGGGCGTAAGCGATTCTCTTGCCTCAGCCT